GTTTTCAACTATAGTTGAACGTGGGAGGATGACAAGCTCTACCTGCATCACTGGATATATTAGTATATATACTGAATCTCTTGCCAAGGAAAAAGGTCTTCTGGATTGATGAACAAGCCAAAAACAGAGTAACAGATGCACCCTTATTGAGATGCACGATTTGGAAGGAAAGCTGCCTAAAGGAAAGGAATATTAGTTTACATATTGAAATGAAATGGGGATGCTTATTACCAATAGCAAGCTTCAGCCAAGAAACGTGTTAGAACATTAGTTCCACAAAAGAATCAAGTAACAAAAAAGTTATTACAACAAGTCAACTCCTTTCCAAATACTAAACGCATATCTTGAGTCTCAATAAACTTGATCATATTAAAGCATGCACTGTTGAAGAAGAAATTTGAATGCAGCACAGCGATTTATTTTCTGAACCCTTTCAGAACTACAAGAGGGTCATAGTGAACCCAAGCAAAATCATCTTACTAACCTCCTCATACATTTTATATGCAGAAATTTAAATGCAGCAAAAAACTTCTTTTTCCCAAAGAATCTTATCTCTACCAGAATCAACACTATGAGTCCCAAGTGACGAAATAGTTCAGCAACAATAAGGGTTCTACTCTTGAAAATAAGAATATGGATAATATATGAAACAGAGAGTAATATCATCCACTGAGGCACTAAATATCAAAATAACAAAAACCAAGGTCCAGCAGGAAGGAAGAAGTTAACAAGCTCAACTGCAGCTCTTTTGTTAATTTCAAAAAAAAATCAATTATTGTGTCTCAAGTTTGCAGATAAATATTATGTTATGCTTGCAAATAGCATCGGTTTAAGAACAAGAAACACCGAGAGACAGACAGAGAACCATACAAGCATGTCTGTGCGAATTTTCTGCCAAGATTTGGCGGACAAACCCAGATATGAGATCACAATTCAGACAACAATGAATCGAACATAACATATTGTACCATTATCCTGTATTCGATGAATAAAATAATGAATAGTTGTTATTTCATTATCTAACAGTTTGAGAAATACGGGTAAGGAAACACCAAACCAGCAAATACTTACAGCTTTTTTCAGCTCATCAACACCAACTTTTTCACGTCCATCGATGGCAGCTAAGCATTTGGCTACACGAGCAGCATAAAGTTCAGCTCGGTGCCCCTGTTATTTAAATAATAGATAATAGAATAAGATGAATTTACGTTAGAAACAACATAAGGAAAACATTCATCAGCAGCAATACCCTATATCATCTTCTTTTCTAACTTTAACTCAATAAAGTTTTTGTCAAATATAAGGTGGCATCTTTAGTCAGTCTTGAGATAGAGTGAATCAAGATCAGGTTGCACTTGAAAGACTTTTACATGGAAAGTCTATTAATTGGCATACTACAGTTTTTCTTTAATATTACATTTTACGCTCTATTGTACTAGGACTTTTGAAGAACCCACTCAACTTAAGATGTCAAAAATAGAAGTCTTTCTGCGTAGAACAGATTAGTTTGATCTAAAGAAAGCTATTCCCAAGGCTTAAGCTTCAGTGTAGAGCACAATAACAGCAATTGAGGAGGATTTCCATATTAAATACCTGGCAGCCACCACGAATTGCTTCCATGACCAAGTATTTTAGTTGATCTCTACTGATTGTGACATCCTTTAAATACTCCCTCGCCAATATTATCTGCAGAAGAGCTATCAGACCATTGCTTGACTAATAGAAAAGTAAGAAAATCATGTGAGCAGCAATATTAATTCATCATTTAAGCAAAATGGCAGGTAATAGAAGTTTTTAAACGCTTATTGGAATTTATGCATACATAAACTGTTCTATGCTAAAGGTGAGACAGTGCAATGAAATAATGCCCTCAAGAAAGCATGACGTATTGAATACAGAGTATCAATTTTTAGAATATTTGGCATCAATTGAGATGCTTGCATTAATTGCAGCAAGCCAGCGTTGGTCTCTAGCATCTAATATATCTACATTTTCCACTTCGATGATACGGTAGAAGCTGGAACATCTGATATTTTTGTTGCCACCTCAGCCCCTCCATTGTACTCTAAGTTTGAAATTCAAGATAACAAAAACAAATCGACATTCCCAAATTTATGAAATACAAGTTGCATTGAGTTAACAGTGATCCTAGTCCAATTGTATCTTCTTCCTTTTAATAAGTAATCAACTCCAAAATTGATGACAATGCTATGTTAATTTATTATACCTATGCTTTTAGCTCAAGTCCTAGCTATCAACTTAGAGAATGAAATAGAGCTTAGGATTCAAATGTTACATTCATGAATAAGCAGAAAGTTCTGATTACTGATGTTGAATGAGGTAGATGGCTTATTGCCTGACAAAATACAGAGTAAATGTTAAAAATTGAGACCATCAGTCAAGGATGGCAAAGCTCTAAAAGTCTTCCCGATTCATCATCTCGCACAACATTACTGTTCTTGTACATAAAAGAAACCATTTTTCAAATGTGTCCTTAAAATAAATAAATCTAACAGATTCAGTCAAAAGAATAATAATTTTGAAGCCAAAAAAAGAAAAGCACTGAACCTTCAGACTTAATTTTTGTTTAGCTTTTTTCACTTCAGTTTCCAGTGTCTTACATTGCTATTCAGCATATTCTCTTTCTCAGGAACTAGCAGGATGCAACTAAATCTACAGCCAAGTAACATTTCGGCAGCAATTTTCCATGTGAAAGCATATTTACTTCATGAATATCCTACCATGTGTTCTGGCACGAGGAGGATTGGTTTGGCTATACACATTCCCTAAATCTTCCCCTATTTAATCCCTTTCTTGTACGCCTCCATATAACTACTACTAGTATTCTTTCAGCAGACATCTATGTTTTACTTGGTTTCTAGTCTCTACAAAGTGATTATATCATGATAATCTTCCGAAGCCGCTGACTGATCAATGACCTAGAGTATATATTTTCTTTTCAGCACATAATACCTGGGTTTTTGCATTGTCTGTTTCTTCATCCACCATTTTAAAAACCTCATTGCTACACTCCTGAAAACGTGTTGCTATGTCAACAGCTGCAACACGATCGTCAAAACTCATTGGAAGATCTGCACTGCAGTAGGATTCTATGATTATTAACTGAAGAAGACAACTGTACCTCTAACACCAGGTCAGATAGGAAAAGAAGCATAAGGATCATATGCACACTCGCATTTAACAGAAACCAGAAATAAGAGTTCATGAGGTTGACACAGACTGGTTAAAGCTAGAAAGATCAGGTTCAAGTATATTTATGCCTAGGCATTGGATTATTCACCAAACATAAACGTGTTGGAAAGGTTTTTGCATTGTCATTTGAAAGGCAGTTGTGTACCTTAAATTAATCGCAATACGGTCTAGCAGATGCTCACGAACCGCACCCTCTTCAGGGTTATATGTAGCAATTAGTAGTGGTTTGCATGGATGGCGAAAGCTGATTCCCTCTCTTTCTACAATATTGACTCCCTCAGTCAATACATTCAGAAGTAGGTTACTTATACCTTCATCTAATAGATTGATCTCATCAACATATAGAACTCCTCGATGAGCTTCTGCAAGGAGGCCTGGTTGAAAGACAGTGGTTCCAGATTTCACGGACTCCTCGACATCAACAGAGCCAATCAATCTATCTTCTGTGACACCAAGGGGAATCTACAATACAAATGCATGTAGGAAAATGTAAAAGACAAAAGGACCATCTCTACCTTGGAAAAGTTTGTAGTACAAAATTACCTGAACAAATGGAGATTTAACTATCTGGGTGTTGATATTACCATCAGACCCATATTCTGCTCTGTCAGCTAGCCCGTCTTCCCACCTGAAAGCTATCAACTATATTTACTGTTCCCCAAGCAAATAAAAGCAGAGAGTTCTAAGCCTAAAAAAACTTGAAATAATCTGGGCCTAAGTTGCTCCGACATGGCAGTTTAGGTGCCGCACCCATGTCGACACGACACTAGTATGGGTGTGGGTATGAGATCCACACCAAATCTAGTCAATCAAGTCCTCGGAGATACCCAAAGCAGCTCCCCGTGTTGCTGCGCTCCCTGCGGGTAATAGCAAGAGAGTTCCGGGTGTAGCAGGAAAAGAGGTTGTACGTGAAAGACTCTTCAATCGAAAAAAAGACGGTCATGTGCCGTTCCTTGAAGTATTGGCCTCTTAGTTTAAGCTCTTGGATGATATAATCCATCTAATCAAAAGCAAGGAAGGATAGACAATCCTTAGCATGCCAAGTTTATGTCGAAGGTGCGGCTCAGATTGTTTGGGTACTTTGACTACGACGGAAGGAAAAATTCGAGACGAGATACAATTTGATTAACGAAATCAGAACCAAAACTAGGGTAAATTTGAAGAAAATAGCATACCTTATATAGGAAATCAATCTTTTACTTATCTACAACTTGAGAATAAAAAAGAAATCCACACTTTACAAGCTATACGTAAGTATTCCACAAAATTTCTCATAATTTAGAGATATTTTATATTTTTATTTTTTAGTAGTCCACAAAATTTCTCATAATTTAGAGATATTTTCATTTTTTTTTGAATTATTTTTAGTCGGATCCCCGCACCCGTATCCGTACTAGGATCCGTATCCCCGAATCTTAGAATTTACATTTCGAAGGATCCGACCTCTAGATCCATACCCGTGTCGGACACCCGCACCTGTGTCCGAGCAACTTAGATCTGGGCAGCTGAAGTTTTTCCATAGGAATTGTGATGTGCCGACAAACATTAAATGAGCACGGGTGCAAAAAATAACTACTATTGAACAGCAGATTTCAAATTAAATGATGAATTAAAATTTTGTCCTTTCTTGATAAAGTGTATATGGCAATGTCATGGCTACTCAGGGATAGGCCTAGCAACAAGGGCTAAAGCAATCCTGCTCCAAAACACATAACTCACTCTTATTACTCACCGCCTCTTCTTCACGTAAAGCATTCCTTCAGAGACAAAAATCTTTGAGAAAGCAAAGCAGCTTGCTATATAAGCTAAAAGAATATGCAACAAAACTTCAGAGTGAACTATAAACATAAATTTGTAATAACTAACTTTCAAGAGCCATGTTTTGAAGTTCTCTTAATAGCTCTTTTACTTCCAGTGTTGTTTCAAGAGTTCTATGTCAAGGCATTTCAAGCACTATCTACAATACATACACTAATTAAAATTCAGTAAGCTTACTCATCGGGACAGTTCGGATCAGCATTTGCCATTGAGCCAACAACTACTTCAATTGGTGGCAGAATAGCATGCAACCCACGTGCCATTACAGTTTTCGCTGTTCCACGCTTCCCAGATATTGCAATTCCTCCTATCTCACGGTCAATGGCCCCAAGTAAAAGAGCAGTTTTAATAGCATCCTGCATAAAGTTGGTCTCAAAATAGACATGTTGATGAAAAACTAAGTATCCAACAAATTAGCATTTTATATCCCTGTCACACATGTACAAGGGACTATCATGAATTTAAACATCAAAAGTGCATCGAATACAAAGTCAACGAATATTGCATAATGCTAAGTATAAAAGTGTACGCCTTCCACAGCCTATAACATGTATACAGAGCATAAAAGCTGAACTAAACACAAGTGAATTTTCGTCGATAGCTGATGATAGTCACGATCAAATCTAACCAATATTTATCTTTCACAGTTCTTAGCATCACAGCTGTTCCATTCAACTGCTTCCTCACGTAAGAAAACCCCATTTTCCCCCTATGTTTTGCCTAGTCAAAGGAAACTGACAAACTTTATCATATCCCTCTAGCAAGTACCAAGAAATTCACTAACCAGTCAATCAACTATGCCTCAATCCCAAACAAGTTGAGCAGCTATATGAATCCTCTATATTGATTCTGCTCTACTCAGAATTTAATATTTGTTGAAATTTTAGTAGTTTTTTAACATATCTTTCGGGTCAAAAATTACTGGTTTGAGTTGAACCTGTAGCCAATACACTACATTTGCTACTAACTATTTGTTTTATTAACACATTGTGGCTCTACAAACTATTCATAGAAGTAACTATTCCCTCCGTTCCAATTTATGTGACCCTATTTTCTTATTAGTCAGTTGCAACCACGTTTCACTATTTGAAAACAATTTAACTATTTAAACTTCTCATTTATAGCCACACAAATGTTATAGCATATTAAGTTTTAAAAAACTTCATTTATGTAAACCCAATTCTGAGTCAAACTATGTCAGGTAAATTGAGACGTGGAGTATCAAACAGTTAAAAATAGATCAAATGTATTATCATAATTTAAAAAACGAAGGAAAGGAAAAGAGACCTGTCCAATAACAGCAGCTAGAGGAAAATACTGTCTACCAAAAGAAATTTTCTCAGGTTGCTTTTCAGGTTCTACTACTGCAACAGCGCCATTAGGAGAATCAATAGTTGCAGTGGCATTTATTCTGAGGCGAAATTTTAACCGTTTTGGCCTTAAATATGTGGAGGATAGAATTGGGCATGGTTTTAAGTATGTGAAGAATGTTGAAGATTGAGAATTGGATAGTGATGTTTGTGGAACAGTTGAAGTTGAACAAAACCCCATTTTTATAGCATCTAAGTTTTTGATTTAGGATTTTCAGATGAAGCAGAGGAAAGGAGAGAGAGTGTTGTTCTGCAGTGGGGTTGAGTTTGTTGTTTGCTGTTAAACGTGTTATCTATTTTTCTATCTTCTTTGATTTTCTTTTTGCTTTTTGTTTTTTCTGTCTATTTTCATTTGAGCGCGGGTGACAGGTAAGAGGATTGGAGGGCGATGTGCACAAATAGCATTGTTTTAAATGTATTTAGTCTTTAATAAACTTTTATTCATCCGGACGAAAATACCCTTATGCTATATAGAATTTCGCTGATAGATACGCTCCTTATTTACGATCAGCAGCAACTCAAACTTACGTGCAAACTTACGTGCAGAGAATTGTTGTGATCGTCCAAAATTGCAGAAGCTTCTCTTCCGATTTCAAACTTTTTGTCTAAGTTCAGAATTCAACTTTCTCGTCCAAAATTCACCATAAAATTACAGTAAGTTCTAAAGTTTCAGATATCTCTATATGCTTTTGTGTGTTTGTGTGGATTTTTATTTCGTTACTCAAGAATAAAATGCTAGGAATTTGATTTTTTTTTTCTTTTCTGTATTGATAATGTTAAGGACATCGCGTCCTTAACTCTGTGATTGTTCTGTAAATATTGAGGACATAATGTTAAGGATTTGGTGTCCTTAACATGACTGTTGTTCTAAAAAATATAAAGGACAAAGTGTCCTGTGTTTTGCAACTTGTATTAATAAAGTTAAGGACACGATGTCCTTTACTTTCATGACTGTTGTTCTAAATATTAAGGACATAGTGTCCTGTATTTGCAAATTATATTAATAAAGTTAAGGACACGATGTCCTTAACTTCATGACTATTGTTCTAAATATTAAGGACACCATGTCCTTAATATTTTTACTGCACACATTAAAGTGAAGGATACCATATCCTTAACATTTTCACTGCACACATCAAAGTTAAGGATAGCTTGTCCTTAATATTTACACTGCACACATCAAAGTTAAGGACAGGTTGTCCTTATAATTTTCACTGCACACATCAAAGTTAAGGACAACTTGTCCTTAACTTTTATACTGCACACATCAATGTTAAGGACATCTTGTCCTTAACTTTTACAATGCACACATCAAAGCTAAGGACAGCTTGTCCTTAACTTTTACAATGCACACATCAAAGTTAAGGACATCATGTCCTTAACTTTTACAATGCACACATCCAAGTTAAGGACACCATGTCCTTAACATTTTGACTGCACGCATCAAAGTTAAGGACATAGTGTCATATTTTTACAACTTATATTGATAAAGTTTAGAACATGATGTCATTAACTTCATGACTATTGTGTAAAAATTAAGGACATAGTGTCTTGTTTTTGCAACTTGTACTAATAAAGTTTAGGACATGATGTCCTTAACTTCATGACTACTTTGTAAATATTAAGGACATAGTGTCCTGCATTTGCAACTTGTATTGATAAAGTTTAGGACATGATATCCTTAACTTCATGACTGTTGTTCTAAATATTAAAGACATAATGTCCTGTGTTTTGCAACTTGTATTGATAAAGTTTAGGACATCTTGTCCTTAACTTCACGATTGTTGTATAAATATGTCCTGAATTTCCCATTTTCTTGACTTGCAGGATGGATACAATATGTATTATAGTTGCTTTTAATGGTAGATGGACTGCAGACTATAAGTATCTTGATCATCAAACAAAGCTTGTTCTAGTACCTGAGGCAATTTGATTTACTAAAAAGTCATTCACTATTCAAGGGTTGTCGTTTCATTGTTGATATTTCGGAAAGAGTTTTTGATTCTACAAGCACCTTTGAACATATCAATACAGAAACTCAACAAGACAATCAAGACAAATGCCAACAGATAATGGAAATAGATGTGGTTGAAGCTCAACCAATAACTGAAGAGGTGCTTCAAACATGTGATTCTATTCAAGTGGAAGGACAAAGCATTATAGAGATTGACAATGAACAAGCTTTGGGAATTCAAGTCTTAGAGAGTGCACCGGTAATAGAAGAAGTTGATGAAAAAACCTTTACTCAACTAACTAGACGAAGCTCAAATTCGAAACAAAAAGAATCCCCAAATACGATATTAAGAGAAAATATTTTGTTGGATGAAATAAAAGTGGGATCAATATTTGACAAAAAGAAGAGTATAATTAACTGTTTTTCCAATATAGCAATTAAAGGACATTTTGAATTCAAGGTTGTTAGATCAAGCTCAACAAGATATTCGTTGAAATGCAATGATGATAGGTGTGGGTGCTGTGTGCGTGATTTCAGAATTAAAGATTCAACACTATTCAAGATAGTAAAGATTGAGAAAAATCATGACTGCTCAGTTAACACTATGAAAACTGATCAAAGGCATGCAACCTCAAAGTTGATTAGTGGTTACATTATCGACAATTTTTGAGACCCAAGGTTTGAAGTTACACCAGGTTTTGTCATAGCAGAAATGCAAAAATTGCATGGACTAGACATTGGTTATCACAAGGCGTGGCATGCTATTCAACGTGCTTCAGCTTTAATAAGAGGAACTCCTGAAGAGAATTATGAATTATTGTCTTCATACTTGTATATGATGAAAAGTATAAATCTNTGGTATCCTTAACTTAACTTTGATGTGTGCATTGTAAAAGTTAAGGATATGATGTCCTTAACTTAGATGCGTGCATTGTAAAAGTTAAGGACAAGTTGTCCTTAACTTGGATGTGTACATTATAAAAGTTAAGGACATGGTGTCCTTAACTTTGATGTGTGCATTGTAAAGGTTAAGGACAAGTTGTCATTAACTTTGATGTGTGCAGTAAAAATATTAAGGACATTGTGTCCTTAACTTTGATGTGTGCATTGTAAAAGTTAAGGACATGGTGTCCTTAACTTTGATGTGTATAGTGAAAAAGTTAAGGACACCATGTCCTTAACTTTGATGTGTGCAATAAAAATGTTAAGGACATGGTATCATTAACTTTGATGTGTGCAATAAAAATGTTAAGGACATGGTATCATTAACTTTGATGTGTACAGTGAAAAAGTTAACGAGATGATGTCCTTAACTTTGATGTGTGCAGTGAAAATGTTAAGGACATGGCGTCCTTAACTTTGATGTGTGCAGTAAAAATGTTAAGGACATGGCGTCCTGAACTTTGATGTGTGCAGTGAAAATGTTGAGAACATGGTGTCCTTAACTTTGATGTGTACAGTTAAAATGATAAGGACATGGTGTCCTTAACTTTGATGTGTGCATTGTAAAAGTTAAGGACACGGTGTCTTTAACTTTGATGTGTGCATTTTAAAAGTTAAGGATAAGTTGTCCTTAACTTTGATGTGTGCACTGAAAATGTTAAGGACATTGTGTCCTTAACTTTGATATGTGCAGTGAAAATATTAAGGACATGGTGTCCTTAACTTTGATGTGTACATTGTAAAAGTTAAGGATAAGTTGTCCTTAACTTTGATGTGTGCAGTGAAAATATTAAGGACAAGATATCCTTAACTTTGATGTGTGCAGTGTAAATGTTAAGGATTTGGTGTCCTGCATTTTTAACCTTCTGTTAAACTGTATTTTCAGGTTTCTTTATATGTTTTATGCATATGGATCATCAATAGCTGGTTGGAATCATTGTAGACCAGTGATTGTTGTTGATGCAACTTTTTTGAAGTCAAAATATCGTGGTATTTTAATGATTTCAGTTTCAAAGGATTCAAATAACCAAATATTCCCACTAGCCTTTGGAATTGCAGAATCTGAAAATAACAATTCCTATGAGTGGTACTTTAGTGAGCTTCGCAATGCAATTGGGAGTCGTGACAATTTATTTTTTTTATCGGACAGGCATCAATCTATTGCACATGGCATTGCAAAGGTATATCCTGAAAGCCACCATGGGATTTGTATCTATCATTTGGAGCAGAACCTAAAGCGAAGGAAAGTGAAAAGTGAGGTCATAAAACTTTTTCAAAGTGCTGCAAGAGTATACATGCGCAAAGAATTTGATCTATACTTATCAGATATAGCAAAATTTGATAAGAAGACTTTTGACTACTTGATGGAAGAACCAACGGAAAGGTGGGCATGTTCTTGTAGTCCATGACGAAGATATAACATGCTCACAACAAACATAGTTGAGTCAATGAATTCTGTGCTATTAGAAGCAAGGGAGTTGCCTATATTAAGAATGATGGATTTCATCCAAGTGAAGCTACAACGTTGGTTTTATGAAAGAAGAAATGAAGCAGAAGGAACTTTTTATGACGTTTCTTGTTGGGTAGAAGAGGAATTGAAGAAAAAGATAGATTTAGCTTTTACTTTAAATGTAAGTATTATGTTCTTACTTTAGCTTATTATTTTAATGATAATTTAACATAATGTACTAACTTATAGTTTTTCAACTTTGAAGGTCTTCCCTGTTGATTCATGGCGTTCTAGAGTTGAGGAAGAAGGAATTACTTTCTTGGTGGACTTAAACAAAAGAACATGTGATTGTTTTCAGTTTCAATTTGATGAATTACCATGTATACATGCAATTGCAGCTATCGAGAAGAGAAACATCAAGAAGTCCAATTTCTGCTCGGACTGGTACTTAAAGGAATCTTGGCTGAAAACATATGAAAGACAAATACATCCTGTAGGACATACGGATTCTTAGATTGTACCAGAGAGTGTTAAGTCACAAATTATTAAACCTCCAGATTTCAAAGTTCCGCCAGGTAGAAGGCAAAAGAAAAGGCATATTTCAGCTACCGAATCATCAAAAATAACATTCAAATGTGGTCGTTGCAGAAAAATTGGTCATAATAGAACATCTTGTATATATTCTCCGGCAGTCCGTCCATTTTCAAGGAAGCATAGAGAATAATAGATATATCCATTTATGTTTATCTACTCTTTTAAGTTTTCGCTATAAATTGGATTCATTTAGATTGTTTTTATTTGAGCAAGTAAACATTAGCAGATGGTTATATAAAAGATGTCCTGAATTTTCAAAGTTTCTTTGCGCTTACGTGCTCTTTGTTTCTTTTTCTTTTTCTGGGAATTCAATTTACCTTTGCCGGACCAATTATTATTTATAGGATTTTATTCTTGCCGTAAGTAAACA